CTTTGATTGAGAAAAAACCATATGCACCGGTGGGGGGATCAATAATAATTATTCTGCAGAAATGAGAATTCAACAACAACAACAACAACAACAACAACAACAACAACAACAACAACAACAACAACAACAACAACAACAACAACAACAACAATTACTAGCACGTGGGGACACACCGTTCTCACCAGTGCCAGGGTTTTCATGGGACGCCGGCCAATGCCCCCACTTTGTGGGGGGGCAGTTCAAGCTCTCCCAAATTTCCAAACGACTCTTCGCGACCACCCACACCCAGCTTCCCGCCCTATGACGTTCGGACACTTCACTTCGTGGCATGCGGACGACCTTGGCTACTACACTGGCGCATGGGTACAGTGACTTGTTGTGGTAACATTTTCTGGACGCTAGCTTAGTATACGACTTTCCCACTTTTCAAACACTCGACACCTGTACTGGTTTTTGATGGTAACATGTTTCTGACGCTAGAATAGGAAACCACGGTATACCAGTACGACGCCGGTACTGTCTGTCGGGCCTACAATGATATTGACTGCTATGGTTGGTGAGGCGCTAGCGTCTGATACGACGTGTGTGTTTGGCAGGATTTCGAGGTGCGCGCGCGGCGGCCGCGCGCATGTGCCCCGCGTGTCATTTTTTGCAAGGGATGGTGGCCCTCGCAGGCGCGCAGACGTTGTTGAAGCAGTTCGAGGTGAGCGCAAAAGTTGCCCTCGAAGCCCCGTTTGATAGGAATGTTGAAAACCATTGTTTTTGGAAGGATTCAGCATGCGCGCGGGGGCAGATTTTCAGATTTGTTTGATGAGAAAGTGGTGTGTTTTCATATGTTTCCTTGACATCGCATCTTGAAATTGTTGAAATCACCGTGTGTTTGGAAGGATTTCGACATGCGCGCGCGGCGGCCGCGGCGATGTGCACTTCGTGTCATTTTTTGCAATGGATTCTTGAAATGTGGTTATGTTAGAACAAGAAATGTCATTTTATATTGTTTTTTGCAAGGGGAAGCGGGGGGGAACAAAACAACCGGATCTGGATCACATCGTTGTGTCAAGGGCTTTCGCTCGAAAATGATGGAAACAAGGCTGCGGCCTAGATAAAACGGGGGGGTCGCGCACCAGGGGTCCCAACAATAATATTTCTGTAGAAGCAATAACATTCAACAACAACAACAACAACAACAATAACAACAACAACAACAACACCAACCACAACAACAACAACAACAACAACAACACCAACACCAACACCAACACCAACACCAACACCAACACCACCAACACCAACCACAACAACAACAACAACAACAACAACAACACCAACAACAACAACAACAACAACAACAACACCAACACCAACAACAACAACAACAACAACAACAACAATGATAACACTGATACGTAACAAGAACAACAACAACACCACCACCAACAACAACAACAGCGCAACAGGCATAATTCTCACCACGAGTTCCTGATTCAGACAGGCACCCAGGGACAATGAATGACCGTTCGGCCCCCGCACTCCGACAAAAAACATAAACAAATGCCAGAAAAGTCGTCCCCACACTATTTTGTCTATGTTTGAATCTTCCTCCTGTAGAGGGACGTGCCCGGCTTGACCGTGCAGCTTGAAATGCACGCCTGCGCGCGGATGGAGGGCGGGTTCCTCTCACGAGGATGCCGCTCTGGCGCCGTGGACGCTCATCTTACGTGCTCTCCAGCAGCACGGAGGCAGCCTATCCCCACTCGCGTGGCCTGGGCCCCACTGGCCAGCTCACACCTCTAGATGGTGACATAGGCAGTTTCTGTCAGATTTCGAAGGGTATGTCCCCAACTGGGGGGACGAGATGGCGGGGGTCCTGATGGCGGTGGGGATGGGGATGGGGATCGGCTCAGTTTCTCCCAGATCTCGAAGGGCACGTGTCCAACTGAGGGGGAATGCGATGGTGGGGGTCTGGATGGGCATGGGGATGGGGATGGGGATCGGTCGAACGACACTGACAACGTGGAGCTCTCGCTGGAAGTTGGGTTCCAACGTGGGTCTGTTAATATAGAGAGGGTCATGAAACAAACGTTGCAACACATATTCTGCGTATCTGTGCATATGCGGTCTGGCATATCGGGGCGGCATCATCGCGACGCCAGCGGGCGTCGCGGACTCGAGCCTTTGGCCTGGAAGCACGAAGCGCACGATTACCCAGATCATGAAGTTCTTCAACCAATCACTGTGTTCTGGGGGTGCGCGGACACGCAAAACACTGTTCAACTAATCGCTAGCTGGCGCCCGCCTCGAACTCATGCCCCATCCCCCGCCTTTTTCCAAATATCCCTTCGCTGCGGCCCCACCCTCCTCATGCCCCCCCGATTGCCCCGGTCCTCATCATGCCCTTCATCTACACTGCCCCCCCCATGTGTTAATTCACGTCGTTCCTCGTCGTCCTCCTGCGCCGGATTCGTTCCCCCATCGTCCACATGCCTGCCCTCCTCCCATCCTCTACGCCCTAGTGCACATCATGCCCCCAACTTCTGCCCTCCCCCACCTCCCTCGCCCTCGTGATGCTGACGCCGATGATGCAAATCCTCCTGGGCTCTCCTCCTCCGCTCTCGTCCAGTCCCGTTCATCCTTGGCCCCTCGGCCACCCCTCCTATCGAACCCCTTCCTTCCCACAGCCCACCATCCCCACCCCCCGCGCCTTTGCATGCCCAGACCACGGCCCCCTCCTGGACCAGCCAGGAGACCCGCGGAAACTCCCGCCCAGTGACCACCCCAGCGAGAGGCGCGCAACAAATGCACAGTTGGAGACACGAACTGTGTATTTCGACCGCGCACGACGCCGCCCCTGGACCAGCCGGAAGAGAAACGCGAAAGTTCCCGTCCATCCAACACCACCCGCGAGGGGCACACTCCAAATACACAGATGGGAACGAGATCTGTGTACACAGATCACACCACGATCTGTGTAAACAGCGGGCCCACACACGAAAATACACAGTTGAAGACACAAACTGTGTACACAGATCACACCTTGATCTGTGTATTTCGAAAAGGTGAACGCTCGCCACCTCGAGGGCGCCCCGACTTTGCCAACCCAGAACCGAGGTCGACATGCCCAGCTGGGGGGGGATGCAAATACACACTTCCCCGGCCCAAGGCGCCCCCGAGAGAACCGCAAATACACGCTCCCCTGGCCCAGGGCGGCCGCGGTGCAACGCGGCGCCGAAGCGGCCCCCAACGGCCCGAAGACGTCCCAAAAAGGCTTCGAAGGACCCCAAAGAATGCCGCGCAACAATCCGAAAACACGAGAGATGTCACATGTCAAGGACCTCTTAACAGTCAAAGCTCCACGCGTCGCCATATAGATCACTGCTCTGGCAAGGGGGGCGGACCTTGCCGCAGGCACTTATAATTTACATGTTAGCGATGCGACTGTGCTCGGCGGCCGTGCCGCCCACATTTTGGGTGCGCCCCGAAATCTCGCATTGGCAATCCCCTCTGTTTGGTTGCGCCGCTGTGCTCGGATATCGAAAAAGCATTTACCGTTGACGCGGGCACGCGGCGCCAGGGACTTCACTTTTCGAACAAGGAGGGTGGACGAGGTAGGACGACGGATGGCGGAGCAGGGCGGCAAAGAGGAACGAGGAATAATGAGGGAGGTGGGGAGGGGCTCTCCCCCGCCCGAGCCGCGGACGCTTTCGACACCATCCGGGGGAGGGAGTAAAGGAAGGGGAACGGAGCAAGGGCGAGGACGACGACGGGAAGCAAAGTGTCCTGGGTCCGCATATAGCCATATGTCTGCGATTCGGGTGCGCGCGCTTTCTTCGAGGCACTTCAAGCCGGACCCATACTGAATTCACTAATTCCTCAAAACTGTGTAAACACTCTGTCCTCTGTTCCCTCTCCTATACAACGGCCTCGTAACAGAGGGGCAGTGGATTCCAAGCTGGAAGCCGTACTGAACCCCCTCGCCAGGAGCCCCTGCCCGAGCACCAGGCGCACGGACGGAAGGCGCACCCTCGTCGACACGCGGGGGGCTGTCGCCGGAGCGCCGGCTTCCCAGCGCTGGGGTCGGGGGCGGCCAAGAGGGGGGCGTCCAAGGGGCCTCCTCCTCCTTCTTCTCCTCCTCCTCCTCCTCCTCCTCCTCCTCCTCCTCCTCCTTCTCCTCCTCCTCGGGGGGGGCGCAACTCTTGGCAGGCGGCGTGTGCGCGGCCCAGCGGAAGGGCCGGGGACGCATTGAAGCATGAAGAGGCGCCATGAAACCTGGGGACATAATCGTGGCCCCCGCAATGGTATCCCCCCCTCTAATCATCACCCCCTCTTGGCCACCCCCGAGGATAGAGGATAGATAGGCGGCGAGCCAGGGGGGGAAGTGAGAAGGGGCGTGCCTTCTCAGAAGGCTCGGAAGTCCCCCGGTCTTCTGAGAAGTCTTCTACGCCTTCCCCGAAAACAGAAAAAAAAGCTTCTCAGAAGGCGCGAGGGCATCTGAGAAGTCCCGCCGCCCTCTGGGAAGGCCTCCTCCCTCTCGATTCCCCCCCTCGCTCGCCGTCGCGTGGAGGGCGGACCCGCTTCGACGCGGGGCTGTCGCTGGAGCGTCGGCTTCCCAGCGCCAGGGGATGGCACACTTCGAGGGCCCCGCCCGCCGCGGCCCGCCGAGGGCCGCGGGGGGCGCCGCGGGCCGCCGCGGGCCGCCGCGGGCCGCCGCGGGCCGCCGCGGGCCGCCGAGGGCCGCCGCAGCCCGCCGCGGGCCGCCGCGGGCCGCCGCAGGCCGCCGAGGGCCGGCGGCGGCGGCCGGAGCGGGCCGCCGAAGGCCGCCGCGGGCCGCCGAGGGCCGCCGCGGGCCGCCGCGGGCCGCCGCGGCCCGCCGCGGGCCGCCGCAGGCCGCCGAGGCCCGCCGAGGGCCGCGGGGGGCCGGGGGCCGCCGCGGGCCGCCGCCGAGGGCCGCCGCAGGCCGCCGAAGGCCGCCGAGGGCCGGCGGCGGCGGCCGGCGGCGGCGCCTTGCCCCTGCCGACGCCCACGGCATTGTCCAGCACCGCGCCCTGCGCGTGCTGCACCTCCCGGCGCCTGGCGGGGGCCTCCTCCCGCCGCTGCCGGCGGCAGCGTCTCGAGGGAGGTGCGAGGGAATCGACACACGCTCCAGCATCTCAAACAATCTGTATGTGTAGATATGTGCGTATGTATATATATATATATACATATATATATATATATATATATATATATATATATTGTCTATCCCCTACGGTCCCTCGGGTTTCCTCGTCCCCTCCATGCCCCGTGTTCTCCCAGGTCTCCATGAGAAGCAACGTTAGGTATGTCTGTCTCTCTTCTGTCGCCGCTCATCTCCTCTTCAACATGTTCACCGATGGGGACCGCCAGAGCGGGGCTGGCTCGCGGGGAAAAACATCGCCTTGGAACCGGCGATCCCAGTCCCCGGAAACCCTGAACCCAAGATTGCTGTGATCTCTTGGGGGGCATCTTTTACTTCCGCCGGCTTCCGCCTGCTTCCGCCGGCGCAGGCGGCCTCGCTGTACTGCCGCCGCCGTCCGCGCCCCATCCCGCGGAGGCAGCGACCTGCCGCCGCTTTCGGCCCTCGAAAGCAACACCCTGGCGCGCCGTTTTACCGAGGGGAAGCGCCCGGGTTGGGACTGGCTCAGGTGGAGAAACTCGGGCCGGGCGAAAGGGGGGGATAGCAAAGGGGGGGGGTGAGAATCAGCTCACGTAGCTGACTTTCCCGGCGCCTCCCGGCGCCGGAGGCGGCTCTATGCATCGAGGCATGGGCCCCTCGGTGGGGCCGCAACCAGCTGCATGCAGCAAGTTTCGTAACCCCCCCTTTCCCAATCACCCCCCTTTCGTCCGGCCCGATCCTTCCCCTGCTCGAGGGAGGGGGCTACCCCTCCCCCATACCCCCCACACCTGGGCCTGGGCAGGGGGTCCCCCCGAGCCGTCAGAGCGCCTAAGCTGGCCCGAGGTGACTCCGAGAGGGCCCTCTCGGCAGCCCAGGACAGTCTCCAAGAGAGCCCAAGGCATCTCCACATCGATCGCCAACATGGCCCTCGTTCGGCCCGAGAGACAGCTCCGTGGAGTCCGCGAGGCGTCGCCGAGAGACCCGCGACTGGGCCACGGGTCGGGCCACCGTGGGCGGCCGCGGGGCGACTGGGCGGGGGGGGGGCGGTGCAGCCTCCCGGGCGTAGCCCCGCCTGCGGTCGGGGCGTTGACCTAAGGAACCCTAAATGAGGAACGAGGCCCCTTTTAAAAGGGGCCTCGCTCCTTCTCCACAAGTTACACTTCGATCTCCTGGAAGCCGTGGATCTGCTCCACGAGCTCGTAGAGGTCAACCTTGTCCCACAGCCATGCCCTGTCACTCGAACTCGAAAAGGGCCACTTGTGTAAAAAAGCTTTGTTTCCACAAGTTAAACTTCGATTTCCTACCGAAAACATGAGGAACACCTGAGGCAGGCTGCGAAACAATCCAGGAACACGGAGCCCCTCCCCAACGAAAAGGGTTCCTTCTTCAGGGCCCCGACTGTAGCGTTGCCCCCAATTCACCTCGCAGAGCTGAACAAAAAACCCTCGCTGCATTGGCCGATTGATCCTACCATGGTTGAAGGTGCCAAGCTGCACGGCTGGCGAGGTGATCTCGGACACAGTGAAGGCGAACTTGCTGCGACAGACTGCGGTTTCCACAAAATCCGGAACTAAAAAACTTGCCTTCTCTTGGGACTTCCCTCCGCCGGCTTCCGCCGGCGGAGCAAGGCCTCGCTTTGCTTCCGTAAGCTTCCGCCGACCTTCCGCCGCCTTCCGCCGAGGAAGAGATACGCTGTACTGGGTGGGTGAAACGCAGGGAGCACGGGCTGTGCTGGGTGGTGGCGGACGCATGCGGGCGGTGCCACTGGGACCTTCCGTGGAGCTCCCTATGGGGCCACGAAGCGCTGTACTGGGTGGGTGAAACGCAGGGAGCAAGGGCTGTGTCCTCTCCTAAGAGGCCGCTCCTAAGACGTCTCAGACGGCGACTGTGAACGACCTCCGTCAAGGCCCGTGCTGCCTCTTCCTGCCCCCCTTCCTCCGATCGCTGCGGGAAGGCAATCTCCGTCACAGATCGGCCCTCGACGCCGTGTTGGCGCAGGGCCCATCAGGGACCTTTTGGGCGTCGCTTCCTGGGGGGGGGGGCGACGAATGGGGAGGGAGAAATGTGCACTTTTCGGGCCTGGCGGCCCGCTTGTGGGCCCTGAAGGGCCCCTTTATTGGCCCTGAAGGGTGCCTGTTCTGCAGCGCCCGCTGCCCCCCCCCCACCTATCAGCCACCCCATTGCGCGACGCGCAAACCTCGCTTCTCGCAAGACAGCCGAGAGAGAGAGGAGAGAGGGATACAGCAGGGGGAGGGAGGCGACCATGAAAGGTGGAGGGATAATTTCCTTCAGCTTCTCCTCATACCCGTGCTCCACCTTCCCCCTCCCCCTCCCGCTCGCCTGTCCTCCTCCCCATGCCCATCCCTATCCCCATCAGCATCATCATCATCATCATCGTCCTCCTCCTCATCATCATTACAATAATCAACATCATCACCACCATCACCATCACCATCATCATTGTAAGCAATTGCATCATCATCCTCATTTCAAATACCACCACCATCATCCTCATCATCATCACCACAATCTCCAACCCCATCAACATCCCCATTCCCATCGCCACCATCCCCATCCCCGTCCCCATTCCCCATCCCCATCCCAATCAGCATCATCATCAGCATCATCATCATCAGCATCATCAGCATCATTATCATCATCAGCATAAGTATCATTATCAGTTTCATCAGCATCAGCATCAGTAGCAACATCATCGTCATCATCATCATAAATGATCTCCCAGGGCGACAGGATGGCAGGAGGAGGAACAGGGGAGATGATGACGAGAGGTCAAGGGAGGGGTGGAGGAGAAGCATTTGATGTTGTTTCGTTCAAATGTCCCCCGCCGAGAACCCACTTCCCTCTTGCGGCGCAACGCAGCCTTTACTCGAAGCAGCGCGCGCCGCGATATTGAGATTTCCGCGGGGAAGTGGTCGCGTGGATCGACCCTGGGAAACAGGGCCAAGGTGAGATCCAAGCCTGTCGCTCCCCCGAAGATAAGAGGGGGCACCGAGAAATGACAGAAACGCGGCGGTTTTGGTCGAACAAGCGAACAGGGCACTGAACTGCCTGTAGATGTTCTGATGGGCCTCTGAATTGATAATCCACTGACACCGAAGGTGGATGTCCTGCGGCCTACCTTGGCGTGGAGATGACGCATATTAAACTCCAAAACTTACAGAAACACCTTGCGACGATGTGAGAGGGTTCGGGCCTGCAATGTGCACCCACCACTGTTGAGTCCCATCAACCGCGTCGATTTCACAGCCAAGAAACATGCTTGCGCGTCTCCGTCGGCCTCTTCGGACAAAGAGTCACAACTCATTTCCCACATCCGCGCCCGTACATTATCACATTCCCCAAACAATGCTTGCATATAGGGGTTTTCGTCTTCCTGCTCCAAAGGAACGGAGCTTTCGTGCGCGCGGCGGTCCGGCGAGCTTAATGTCGCCGCCCGTCGCCGCCGTCCGTCACAGCTGTTTTTGGTCCTGGCTGGCGGTAGCTGCATGTATTCTCGCTGTCGCCGCCCGTCGCCGCCGTCCGCCGCCGTTGCTTGTGGGGCTGGCTGGCGGTCGCCGCCCCTGCTGTCGCCGTCGCCGCCCGTCGCCGCTACATGTCGTCGCTGCTTCTGGGCCTGGCTGGCGGTCGCCGCGCTTGCTGTCGCCGTCGCCGCCGTCCGTCGCCGCTTACGCAACGAACGCACCGATTGCACCACATAACTTGCAACACATAGCTTACGCGACGCCGATCGCACTACATGTCTTGCACCACCAAAATTGGGTACCACCTAAACTACACGTGTGCTGCGCAACATACATTGCACATATTAAATGCAGCACGTACATTGCCCCAGACACCATGCACCACATATATACTACACTGTGTACGTTGCCCCGCATGTACTACAAATCGTATAACCTTGTGTTTACACAAATCTTGCAATATACCCACCACGTAGGTTAACGGATTCTTTTTTGTCGTATTGTATGTTACCAATGGTTCTGCCCCATCGCCCACCCGAAAAACGAAGTCAGACCATCCCAGGAAGGCCGGCATCGCCCAACCTCATCTCGTGCACAAAATACTATGCGCGTGCACCCGTTGATCCAAATTCATCAGCTGTCGCAATTTTTTTTGGAAAACAAATAATCGAAGCCCGCACGTGCGCGTCGTCGCGCACGTATTCCCAAATCCGTCGACAACCTTAGGTTTCGTACGCATTCCACAATCGAGTATTCCGTAAACAAATACCAATTCATAAATTTCTCAAGCGTTTTTTGAATTTCAGCTTGTCGAAATCGAAGATGAGTTTTGCGCGCGCGCTGTCGCAATAATCGTTTTGCGAAACATGGGGCGGAGTGCGCGCGCGCACGTCGTCGCGCGCGCACATTTTTTCCATAAAAAACCATTCGGTTTCGAAGGGTTTTCAAAACCGAATGTCCTGAAACATAAAAAGAAAAATACGCGCATGCGTTTGCAACATTCGTTTCAAACAAACCGGCGCCCGCGCACCGTAAATTGTCAACCGTGGCACCAACTTCTTCTAAATGGGGGGGCAGCTCGCGTCGCATGTCAAAATCATTCGAACGCCCTCGCGCGCGCGCTGGGGGGGACATGGCCCGTGTCAAATAATACCATGCGGGCCACTCTCGCGCGTCGGCCGCGCACGGCTGTCAAATACTCACCAAAACCTTCACCACCCGCGCGAGGGCGCCGTCATCGTCGTCGGCGTGATCAGCATCGACGCCGTCACTGAACTTGCGGTCGTCATTATACATGTCACCAACACCATGCATCGTGATCATCGTCATCGTGTCTACCGTTGTCGAAGTGGCCAAGATGCCGCGCCCGCCCAAGTGGCCGATCCGCACTGCATTTTCACCTGGGGAGTGCCCAGCGGTACGCGCCACCGCGGCCGCGTCGGTCGCACCAAACTAGCTGGCCGCTGCGTGCGCGAGCATGCACGGGCCAGCGCGGCCGCAACGCTGCGCCAGCCAGCGCCGAGCAAATATCACGGTCGCATGTGGATTGGTTTTGCGAACAAAATTGCGCGTGGGTGGGTGGGATGTTTGCGCGAGCAGTGAAATTGGTAATTTCAAATCCGGCAGGGCGACTTGACACCCCATAGACTGCACCACCTGGCATAAACCACTTGCATATGACAGGCTGCGCCGCATAGATTTTCGTAGCTGCCAAAAAATAAAATCCCCCCCGGAAGCGGGATGATCAATCCCCCAGGAAATGTGCAATTGACTGATGATTCTTCCCCGTCGCTCGTTCAAAATATAAGCTGATATCACCCCAGCGAAGCCGGGCTCGACACCACCCACAATCCCCAGCAAGAAAGAAACACAATGCGCGCACACTCGTTCATCAATACTCATCCGTTATCGAGAATCCCTTGCAAAAAGAATTGGCCGAAGTGCGGACGCGCGAATTGTCGCGCGGGCGCGCCGCAATCCGTCAACAACCGTAAGTTCCGAAGGGTTTCAAAATCGAAGACCCCGGCAACTTATTCAAACGCACGCATGGTTTGTAGTGTGGTGTTTCACAAAAGTTCTGTGCGCGCGCTCTTGCAATTTCATGCGAACACAAAACATGTATCAACAACGCCAACAATGTTATCAAACACTGTGTCGGGTGTGTGCTGAAGGAAGCTAGATCCCTGTCAAGTAGAATCATGCGGGCCACTCGCGCGTCGGTCTTGCGCGCATGTCGGTTTCCGTCAAAACTTTAATCACCGCCACATGGACACCATCATCGCCATCAACGTTATCAGAATCAGCGCCGCCATCCGCATTGCAATCGTCACCGTCAATCGTCACCAACAACGCTATTATCATCATCGCGTCTGCCGATATCGATGTCGCCATGATACCGCGCCCGCCCGGATCACCGACTCGCACTGAAGTGCCCGCGCGTCAGCGCGGCCTGCTCGACGCAACTGGACGTCCCCAGCGGTCAGCGCCAACGCGGCCGCGTCGGTCGCAACAGACTAGCTGGCCGCTCTGAGCGCGACCCTGCGCGCGCAATCGTGGCCGCGACGATGCGCCAGCCAGTGCCAAGCAGTCATGCAAGCCAAGTCGCGGGTGGGTGGGTGAGATGATTGCGCGAGCACTGGAGTTGACAACCCAAGGCGAACACAAATTGATCGTGCCACCTAGATTGCACCACGTATATTGCACCACGTGGACTGCACAGCATAGATTGCACCATGCAGATCGCCGCGCTTACATTGCACCACGCACGTTAGGGCACACCCTGGGGGGTCCACGTTGGCTAGCACCAGGACGTTGCAGGGCAGGTTAATTTTTGTCGTTAAAAGCACGTTTAGTAAATGCACCTCATGAAGATGATCAAACAAAGCAAGGCTGTTATAAACCGCTCTGCGGGAGACTCCTCGTCGTAAGCCGGGGACACAGCCCGTCGAACAACGCCGTCTCGCCAGCATCGTCATCGAGCCCTCAGACAGATTCAAAAGGAGTCGGCTGAGGAGGGGGGAGAGCGGTGCGCGGCAGAGAAGTAAGCGCAGCGGCCTAGGCCCCACGACCCTCAGGGAAAAAACTTTCTAAACAACAATGTCGGTCGAGTCCTGAACCGGGAACGTCCGTAACCCGTCTGCGTCCTCGTCGAACTGGGAAGTGGGGAACGACGATGAGGGGCAACGATCGAGGGGGCTCAGGGGGTGGAGCACCGACCTGAAATCGGCGATACGTCGCCGATCGATCGGCGATAGGTGACCGACAGCGAGTCTGCACGTGACTGGGCGGAGAAGGGCTATCGAATCCCTGTTGGCGACCAACGGGCGATTGGGGGTCGACAGAGTCCCCCCTGAGCCGATCCTTCCTACAGTCACCCCGTATCATAAGGACGCACGATAAGGATGCAAGGGCCCTGGATGGCCATGCCAAAGCCCTGCGAGCGGGGCACGGCCAGCGAAAGCGGCCGAATATGGGCAGAGGGCGAAGGATGCGATGGTACCCTTGGGAAGCTTGCCAAGCCTTCCTGTGCGGGTTGACTGCGTCGTTGTCCCCGAGACGACGCCACCCGCATCGGCGCACCGGGTCCAAAAGTCTGCCGCCGAGGGGCCTTGAGGGGTGGGTGCATGTCACGCTCTCTCTGGGCTTGGCAGGGGGGAGCGGGAAAGAGCCCGCGGCTTCCTTGCCGCCAGCACGGCCGTCAGAATATACAAATGCTCGGCGCTGTCGTATGCTTCCTCGCCAGCCGTGCAGTGCGCGGCCGGAATCCCAGGCAAACCTCGCACGCGCCATCTGAGCATTTGCGGCTGCGGTCCACAGCGACCGCGTTGGCCTCGTTATCCATGTAATATTGAAGCAGGATCGGCACAGCGGCGGACCAGCGGTGAGGAAACCATGCTGGTGGCGGCAACAAAAATGGATCTGCATGGCGGTCACCTCAGGAATCTCCGTTGAGCTAAAGCGGTGGCGACGACCATCGGCCACTGAAGGTAACAGGCTGCAGCCAATCCAGCCAGGCGCGGGCAGCTGTGGCAGCGAAGCAGTGGCGGGGAAGGCCGGTGGTCAAAGGCGCTGGGGAGGCTACGCGGGGCAACACAACATCTGCGAAGGCTGAGGGAGGGGTGGAGGAGGAGAAGGAACAGGATGAATACCAAGAGGAGTGGGAGGTAGGAGGAGGGAGAGGGGTAATGGGTACGAAGAAGAGGAGTAGGAGGTGAGTAAGTGGGAGCAGGAGAGGTAGGAATCGGACGAGAGAGGGGGGATGGAGTAGAGAAGCAAAGCTGGAGAAGGAACATAGGACTGACTGCCAGGAGCATCGAAGAGGCGAATGGGGGGAAACAGAAAAAGAAGAAGGATAAATAAGTGGAGGAGGAGGAGGAGGAGGAAGTGGATGACGAGAGAGAGGGAGAGGAGGACGATGGGGTGGGGGAGACGGAAGAATGACAGAAGCAGGGGGCGGGTGGAGATGAGGAAGACTACAGGAGTAGCAGGGAGGAGGGAAGACAACAAGCAGGAGGAGCACAGAAGGGGGATTCGGAGTGGAGAAGGGAGCAGGATCGGGAAGAGAGGGGAGGAGGGGGAGGCCTGGGAGAGGGTGAAAGGGCACGAGAAAGACTCGGCGGTGGACAAACCCCCCTTTAGTAAACCTCCCCTTAATGAAAACGGCCTGGGACCGAAACCGACGGACCTGGACCCGCAAAAATGATGGCCGCGACGCCCTCTCGCGAACCAGAAACAGCCAATTCCTTAATCGACGTGTCAGGGTGGGAGGTCTGTCCACCCCCCAAAGACGAGGAGAGCATCCATCTCCTCGTCTTCGCCGCCCCTCGCTGCCCCTCGCATGGGCAGGGGTGGCCGCACAAGGCAGGCGCGCCTCTGCTCGTTGCTCAGGGCCTTGCCGAGCACGCCCCGCGAGGCCATCTGGCCCGTCTTCTTCTGGCCTGCTGGCCGCGGGCGCGGCGGAGTCGGCTACACGCAAGAGTGACCCTGGGTAAGAGTGACCTTTGGTGCGCGGTTTGTGGTGGGCCGCGGGGGGACCAAACACCAGCGCGCAAGACGCTACTGCCGCATCGCGTTCGGCGGTCGGGGGACCCATAGGGCCCGCACCACAGGTCACTCCGGCGAAAGGTCACTCTTACGTCTAGTCGACGGAGGGGGAAGACGCCTGCTTTCCGGTTCACTTTGTCTGTCAAATCTCCAGCTCACCGCATGCCGTTTTTTATCTGAAGCCCTTGCTAGCCCGTCTGATCTGCCGATGCGCTCTGCCTCGTTGATCTCATGTGCGCTGCGGGCGGATGCAGGTCCTTCTTCGCCACTGGGCTGCCTCGCCTAAGTCGGATCGTTTTTCTGCATAGACGCTACGACAACCGATCACGCTCCGAAGAGGAGAAATAGAGCGGTGAAGGGGAACGATCTGGGGGGACCGGCGGAGGGAGGAGACATCAACCCCGAGTCCGTGAGATACATGCATCGCCGGTGGATCGGCGATAGGGCCCTCCGACATTGAAGCCGCACGTTCCTGGGAGGGGTGGGCTGCCAGGCGATCAGTGGCCGATTAGGGGCCGATGCATCCCCCCCTGAGCCTATCCCCCCCTAACGTTGCCCCTGAGGGAGAAAGAGAGAGGAGGAGCAGGATATGGAAAGACGACGTACGCGACGAGGAAGAGAGTGGGAAAGGCGGAGCCGAACAGGGCGGAGGAGGCGGAGGCCGCGATGAGGGTGTGAGAACAGGAAAGCCAGACGCGTGTGCATGTTGATTCTTAATTCATGCTCACGACTTTCCCCCAAGACGCCCCAAGACGCCCCCAAAAGGCGCCAAGAGGCTCCCAAGACATTCCAAATATGCTCCCAAGAAGCCCCAATAATGCTCGCAAGAGGCCCCCGAGAACAACCCGAAAAGACCCGAAGAAACATCTCTGAGAACTCTGACCCGCAACCCATGCACGGTGATGGGATAGGGCGTAGGCCACAATAGAATTCCTATTTACACATTTCGCACGCAATTGCCCTGGAATCTCCACCGTGTGAAAGGGACAACCAAGTGTGCATATTGCATCTCCTCCTCCTCTTCCCTCCTCCTCCTCCTCCTCCTCCTCCGCCTCCTCCTCCGCCTCTTCCTCCTCCGTCCTCTTCCTCGTCCTCCTCGTCCTCGTCCTCGTCCTCGTCCTCGTCCTCGTCCTCGTCCTCGTCCTCGTCCTCGTCCTCGTCCTCCTCCTCCTCCTCCTCCTCCTCCTCCTCCTCCTCCTCCTCCTCCCCCTCCCCTCCCCCTCCGCGCATGCCCCCCCCCCCCCCCGCGCGCCTGCGTGCCCCCGGCCATGATGGCCCTCGCCGCCTGCACGCCCCATTGGCGGCCGGGGGCCCCTCGCGCGCGCGCGCGCCCCCGCCGCGGAGCCTGCAGGGGGCGGGGGCTGCTCTGAGCGTCGCGGGGAGGGGGGGGGCCCGTCGCCGCCGCCGCCGCCGCCGCCGCCGCGGCGGCCGTCGTCGTTGCCGTCCCCGCCGTCGTGGCTGTGGCCGCCGTCGTCCTCCGGGCGGCGGCTCGTGGGGGATGGGGGCCCAGAGTTGGGGGGGGTGGAGGGAAAGGCTCCCCACGGGCCCCTTTCGGGCCCCTCTTGGGCACCCGCTGGCTCCGCAGGGCGCCCCAGAAGGGCCCCATTCGGGGATGGACAGGCCCCCCCTTTAGTAAAGCGTGGTTTCGTGAAACCGACCTGAGGCCCAAACCTGGCGGGCGCAAGCCTGGAAAGTAACGGCCACGGCGCCATCTCGGGAACCGAAAACGGACAAATCACTAATCGACGTGTCGCTGTTGGGGGTTCTGTCCACCCCCGACCCATGTAGAGCCGATTTTCTTCTCCCTCCATCGGGGTCCCCCCTCCGCTGCCACCCGCCCGAGTCCTCCGCCGCCTCGCGCTGCTGCCACCCCCCGGCCTGGCCCTGCCCCCGCTCCTGCTCCGGGGCGGCTCCCTCCTCCGCCGCGGCGCACCCTCTCCCCCACCACCCTCCCCCGACGAGGACCAGGGCGATCAGCCCGAATAACAAGGCCGCGCGCACGCGGCAGGTACGCAGGGGCCTCGGAAGGTCATGTCCACACATTTCGGGCGAGTTTGGCAAGCGAAGGTCGCTAAGGATGGGCCGAAGGGTCACGGATGCAAGAGTGCAGTTGGGGCGTTGACCTGAGGAACGATGAATAAGGAACGAGGTCCCCTTTTCCCATGAGTTAAACTTCGATTCCCCATGGAAGGCCTTCGGAAAACCTAAGGCAAACTGTAAAGCAATCAAGGGACACCGAGCCCCTCCCCAACGAAAAGGGTTCCTTCTTCAGCGCCCCGACTGTAGCATTAGAAAATGTTGCTCACGAGAGGGGCGGGGAGGGACGACGTGAAGCAGCGATGCTACAAACATTCATCGAGGGCGAGAACGAAGAGGAGCAGGGCGGAGCAGGGCTGGGAAGAGAGAGAGTGTGATCCTCCTCCTCCTCCTCCTCCTCCTCCTCCTTCTCCTGCTCCTCCTCCTCCTCCTCCTCCTCCTCATTCTCCTCCACCTCCTGCCCCTCCTCCTCCTCCTCCTCCTAATTCTCTCCCCTCCCCCTTCCCCCCTCCCCCCCTCCTCCTCCTCCTCCTCCTCCTCCTCCTCCTCCTCCTCCTCCTCCTCTTTCCTCCTCCTACTTCTCCCCCTCCCCCTCCCCCCCCTCGTCGTCCTCCACCTCCACCTCCACCTCCTCCTCCCTCCTCCTTCCTCCTCCTCCTCCTCCTCCTCCTCCTCCTGGCAACAGCAACAGCCATCACAGAAGGCAAACAAATGGTGCGCCTCGGCTGCACGCAAAGCTAGACCCTGGGCGACATTTCGTGCGCGGCTTGCAGGTTGCTCCGTGCGATGCGGCAGTGGCGACCTGCGCGCTTTGGGTTGCGCCCCCGCCCACGCGCGCAGGGCCGCGCACCACAGAGGTCACTCTGGAGAAGGGCCACTCTCGGCGACTTCAAAGGGTGCGGTTTGCAAAGGGTGTGGTTTGCAATCGGCACCCTGAGGGGCACCATGGTGGGCGAGCGGGTGCCTCGATAGAGTTCTCCGCCGCGCCCGGAGGAGGCCCGACGAGGACAGTGGCGTGCCCTCCAGGCCCCCACGGCGCCGATCGCAAACCACACCCTGGCGTAACAGCACCCTTTGCAGTCGCCGACGCTCTCACAATCAAAACGCTGCAACAAGAGCCGGTTCCGAGCCGGAAGGGGCTCGCTGTCCCTTCGGACCCCCCATGGCTGCTCGCACCCTGGCGCTTCGGGGGCACGGAACTCGCTTCGTTCCTGAGTCGAACAATCCTCATCTTGCTATCGCTCGGACGTCCATTCCCCGCGCATGTCTCAGTTTCGCGCGTTTGCTGTTTCGTTCGAAGCGCCGACAGGCTCCTCGATGGCACCTGCCGAGGAAAGGCCCACGTCCGAGCGATGCCAAGTCATGCTGGCGACTCATCTCCTCCTCCTCCTCCTCCTCCTCCTCCTCCTCCTCCTCCTCCTCCTCCTCCCCATCTCCTCCGCGACTCTTTGCCGCCACGGCGGCCGGGAGAGGCGCTCAGGCGTCCGCGAAGCACTCCTGAGGGGCGGAGTGCGCGCGCGAGGCGCGCGGGGGGGGCGCCTCCGCCTGTCCCGCAGCTTCGCCGCCTCCTCCTCCACACCCACGAGCATCTTCCTCCTCCTCCTCCACCTGATCCTGGTGCTCCTCGTCTCCCTCGTCATCGTCATCATCCTCCTCCCCTCCCTTCCGATTTTTCTGTTCATCCCTCTCTTCCTCCCGAGTCCTCATTCCTGATGGCTGAAGATCCACGATCGCAGCCTCCCTCCTCCATCCTCCGCCTCCTCCTCCTGCTTATCCACATCTTCATGCTCCTCATGTTCCTCCTCTTCATCCTTCACTGGCTCCTGACCCTCCGCATATCCCCCATCCCCCCCATCCCCAGCTTCCTCGGCCTCCCACGGGAACGAGGATCTAAAAGTACGCAAGCAATCAATGACTAGAAAGAGTAGGGCCACGCTCATCCTGGGCCCAGGATCGGTGCACACGCCACCCTGGCTTGGCCGGGGAGACAGCATGCACTGATGCTGAGCCCAAGATGGCCTGGAAGGAGCCGAAGTATACGTCGGGTATGACTAGTCGGCCGGCCCTCCGAAATCTAGGGCACCCCCTGTGTCCTGTCTATCGCGTTTCATGCCCTCTTCACGCCCAGAGCACGGGTGACCCTCGGAACGGCCTTTTGTCCTCGCCGTCACAGTAACAACGCGACCACAAAAGAAACCGTCCACAAGAAACCCAAATCCCCGGAACCCCAAGACGTCCATGGATCTTTGGCGTGGGAAAGCCACGCCTCTGCCACCGCAAAACCATCCAAACCCAAGAGACCCAGGGTCTCCACTGTACTCCAGATTTCGTAATAAAAAGGGAGGGGGTCTGGACCCTCCAAGACAAGCCATTTCAGACCTCCCCCGTGGGAGAACCCTCCAAAACATCGTCCCCAGACCCCCCCAGGCCCTCCAAGATAGCCTGGAGGAGACCCCCCCCCCCGAAATGAGACCCCCCTCCCTTTATTACGAAATCTGGAGTATCCGCTGCATGCGCTGGGTGTTTCTTGGCATGGGACTCCACCGTGTCCGCTGCAGCCAGCCCCGTCGTTCCGCGCCGCCCTCGCGGCCCCAACGGGGGAGGGCTCCTGCGTCCGGCCGCGCAGGTCCCGCAGCAGCTGCTTCTGCCCCGCCCGCAGCAGCAGCGCCGCGCGCAGGTTCTCCGCGCGCACGCCGTCCTGTGCGGGACGCACGGGGACACCGTGCCTCCGTGGGAGGCGCGCGTCCGACCCGAACGTATCGTATACCCGTCACTGGAGACCACCGTTGCCCGAGCGGTGTGGCCAGAAAGCGCCCGCCACGACGCACTTACGTACTCCAGATTTCGAAATCAAGTG